TCCCCTCCACCCTCCCACCTCCCGACACCCCATAAATGTTACTCCTATGTGTCCACTTAGGTGTTGATCCATTAATACCAATTTGCTGGTGAGTACATGTGGTACATGATTATTTTTTAATAATTTTGATGAAAAAGCATACGTGAGGCCTATGAGTATATTATGTTGTTTATTTTTCTCTTTTTTAAAAAGTTAAATCTATAAAGGGAGAGACTATATAAAACAGAAGTAATAATGTGCAAATTAAAAACACTTAAATTTGGAGTTGAGGCTTTAAGAAGGCTAGAACATTCCTATGCTTCTTTCTGGAAGTAATATATATCAACCACACTAGCAAGCGAATGTCAACTGTTTGAAAATAGTGCAGTGCAACTAGTTCTTAAAAATAGGACATGCTGTCCAACTAAAATAGACTGAGTACAACAAAATACAGAAGTCATGTATGCAGTACATTAAAAAATATCTTTCCAAGCTTTGTTATAATTAAGTTAAGAAAGCTATTTTAGTTTACTTTATTTATTTATTTTATTTTTTAGAAATGAGATCTCTGTCCCCCAGGCTGGAGTGCAGTGGTGTGATCATAGGTTGTAATTACATAGTTAATGATTTATTTTGGCCAGAGTATGGAATTATTTTTACAGGTGATTTTAAGTGAATTTATAGAATAGAGTGTGACTTTATTTTTTAGATTTCATTTCATAATGGAAGTATTTTGATATTAATCCATGTGTGTTATTTGTATTTTAAACATCTTATGCTTGGAAGTAGATTAAGACTCCATGTGACAAATTTTGCTAAGAATTTTTTGGAAAATAATCTTTGATAGTATATTTCAATATCTTAACTCAAGGTAGGACAGATAATTTTTTTTTCTTCTAAATGCCAATATGTTAAAAATAAAATACTTTTGAGTTGGAGAAATTTTCTGGCTGACATAATTTTGAAAATTAAGGCAAATAGGTCTTACATGAGGGGACCCTCCCCCCAACTCTATTCTTTCCTATCTCTTTATTTGCCTAATAAAATCTTAGTTCCATTGATTTAAGGCTATTGGAGTTATGAATACTTTTTCACTGCTATGATATATTGTTCTCATCCTAGCTTTGCAATAAAACTCAAAAAAATTATATCTGGGGCTGGGCGCGGTGGCTCACGCCTGTAATCCTAGCACTCTGGGAGGCCGAGGCGGGCAGATTGCTCGAGGTCAGGAGTTCGAAACCAGCCTGAGCAAGAGCAAGACCCCATCTCTACTAAAAATAGAAAGAAATTAATTGGCCAGCTAATATATATAGAAAAAATGAGCTGGGCATGGTGGCTCATGCCTGTAGTCCCAGCTACACGGGAGGCTGAGGCAGGAGGATTGCTTGAGCTAGGCTGACGCCACGGCACTCACTCTAGCCTGGGCCACAAAGTGAGACTCTGTCTCAAAAAAAAAAAAAAAAAAAAGAATTATATGTTGGGCTTAGAAAATTGAGTCAGAAGCAGCCTAAGAGTTTCATTTTACCTGCCTCCACTTTGCTGTCAGTGATCAGTTCATTCAACAGATAAATGAATCATCAGAGTGTCTGCTATATACTAGGTAATAAATATATATTATATATATATTCACTCATTTTAAGTCCTCATAAAATTATTCCCATTTTATGAAAGATAATATTTGTGCCAAGAGATATTAAGAGATCCTATCCAGAGGTTACAAAACTAGTAAGCAGTCCTAGCTGCCTGTTTGATTTGTGACAATCCTAGTTAAGGGAAATTAAGGGTAGTATTAATAAAATTATAGTGCTTAAACTCTTTGAAATGTTTCATATATATTTTTCTGTCATATGATAAACATTTATAGCGCATCTATTCCTTACTAAAGTCAGTGTTAAAGTCTCAAGGGTTAACAGTCTTATAATGGGGATGAATTACGAACAAAATCTTAAATGTCATATGTCTTAAGAGGAAGGAAGAAAACTGTAAATTGAGGGAAAATAAAAGTTATTTTGATAAACTTAATCAGAAATGAATATTACATGAGTAAATACTTTGTGCAAAAGCATTTAGTAATTTTGATTTGGATTGTTTTATGGTCAAAGGAAAACTTGGGAGTATTTGGATTTGGCTTAGCCAGTGAGTGGTATCTGTAGATAATGCTAAATCTTTTGTTAGAACAATACTAAAGAATGCAGAAGATAGGGACACCAGCTAGTATTCCCTAGTTCCCTAATTGTGTATTTATCAGAAGTAATCACCTACCTTGGGAATGTATCTTTATGGTAACTGTAATGTGCTACAATGGGCCCATTATAGCTCTGATTCAGTTAGAGCTCTCATTTCAAGAGTGCATCCCCAGTGCCCGTCAAGGTATGCCTTGACAGAGAGAGGGAAAGACAAGAATACAAACATATCCAAGGTGGTGGGAGTGGGGAGGAGAAGGAAATTGAGGGAAGGGAAGAAAAAAAGAAGGGAGTATTTGTGTTTGTAAATAAGCATTAGAAAAAGTCTAGAAGTAATCACTCCTTTGGAGAGGAGTATGATTGAATTGTAGGAGTAGAGAGGAAGGGGTAATTTTGCTCTTTTTTTTTATTTACTTCTGTCATAATAGTGATAGACAGCACTTATTGCTTACTATGTACCAGGATGAAAAACATTTTATCCCAGTCTTTTGTCATATAGAAGTCTTAAATTTTGATGTAGTTGTATTTGTAAATCTTTTTCTTTATGGCGTTATTCAGGTTAAATACCTTTCTTTGTTTCTAGATTGCTAGATTTTTAAAAAAAAAATCAGGAATGTTGAGTTTTTATGAAGTGACCTTTTATTGTGTGTCTAAAGGAGTGATCATAACAATTTGCTAGTATAATGAATGATTTTAATGTATTTCTAAATATTGAACCTTCCTTGAATTCTTTGGATAAAATCTCCTTGGCCATGATTTGTTATCTTTTTGAAAAACTGTTGAATTCATTTATTGTTAATATATTTATGCCTTACTCATAAACTAGAATTCATTTAATATGTGTCCTTCTGTTCTTCCTTTCTGTCTCTTTCCCTTCTTCCTTCCTTTTTCATTATATTTCTCTCTTTTTCTCTTTTTTTCTTAATAATTTTTTAGGTTAGGATTATGTTGTTTCATAGAATGATTTAAATTTTTCTCCTTTGCTATATGTATCTATAATGGTTATCAACATACAAATGAGTTGTCCAAAAATATTTGGTAAATATTTTCCATTAATTTATCCAGGCTTAGCACCTTTGTTAGGCTAGGTCTTTGACTGCCGTGTAGTTTTTTCTGTAGTTATTTGTATGTTCAGGTTTCTACTGTTATTAAGGGAATTTTACTGATTTATAGATTCTTAGAAAATTGTCCATTTCAACTACATCTTCATGTTTATTGGATTAAATACATGCTATTTCCCTATAGTTAAAAAAACTATAATTATTTCCTTTTTTCCTTCTAACGTTATGAATTACCGTTTTCAGTTTTTAAAATATCTTTCTCACATTTGCTGAATAATGGTCTGTTTTATTGTCTTTTCCAAGAACAGCTTTGTGTTGATTTTATTGATTGCCCATCTCTACTCCATATTTTAGCTTCCATATAATTAATTTCTACTTTTATTTTATAAATTGCTTCTATTTTTCTGGCTGGGTTTATTTTTTTATTTTTTGAACTTTTTTCTTTTGATAATTTCAGACTAACAGAAAAATTATCTGAATGTTTTTATTTATGCATATTATTTTTCTTTAAACCACTTGAATATAAATTAGGGGAATTTTGCCCAGTTACTTCTCATTATTTAAGTGTACATATTCTAAGAACCACAGTACAGTTATCAAAATCAGGAAGTTTAGCTATGATCCAATACTATTATTTAAGCCACAGTCTGTATTTAAATTTTTTCAGTTGTACAATAAGGTCATTTGTAATTACTTCTTTCCTATTCCAGGATATAATCTAGGACATGCATTGCAATTGCTTGTTGCCTCTGTAATGTCATTTAATCTGGAATGTCTCATTGGTTTTTTTTTTTTGTGCGTTTCTTGACCTTGACATTTCAAAGGTAAAGGCTAGTTATTTGGTTGTTTGTTTTGTTTTGTTTTTGCAGCATAGCACTCAATTTGGGTTTATCTGATTAGATTAGTTCAGGTTATATATTTTTTGTTAGAAATACTACAGAAGTGGTATTCTCAGCACCTCATATCAAGAGTCAACCTGATGTTTATGGTGATGTCTACAAGATTTCTCCACTTCGAAGTTATTATTTGCCTTCATAATTAATAAGTAATTTGTCAGAACTCATGTTGAAATAATGTAAATATCTATTCCTCAGCAACCTATCACCTTTGGGTTTATTTTATTACTCTTTGTTTCTCACCTATTGTGTTGAAAGCTCAAGTTTATTTTAGCCTCTTTTATTTTCTAATGTACTTAAGATTATAAATTTTTCTTAACATATCACTTTGAAATATTGTCTGGGAATATTTACAGTAGGGCTTGGGATGAAAGGAAATAGTAAGTGGGAAGATTGTTTATAATTCAAAGGTCCTCAAACTTTTTAAACAGGGGGCCAGTTCACTGTCCCTCAGACCATTGGAGGGCCGGACTATAGTTTAAAAAAAACTATCAACAAATTCCTATGCACACTGCACATATATTATTTTGAAGTAAAAAAAACAAATGGCCAAAAACAGACGCATGTGGCCCGTGGGCCATAGTTTGAGGACGCCTGGTTTATATTATTAATAATCTACTGCTAGGGAACTGGCAATGAGAGCCTGAAAAGAGTATTTTAAAGTTGCCCCAATTCACCCATTAACAGAATGTTTCCAGTCTTGCTTTAAAGAACAAAGGATGTGGTTTTTAATGATCATGATTGGCACACCTGTGAGTAATAGTAAGTTATTGAAAATTATGAATTTAAGAGGTTTATTTCTTTAGTGCAACTGGTACCTTGGGACTTGTTTAATAAAATATGCAACTATCTCAGACCATGTTTTTACCTTACCATTTCAGGAGCAGCGGCAATGGCATGGAAGAATCCTCTTGCAAGCTGGTTTACTGCTATGCTCCACTGCTTTGGTGGAGGAATTTTATCCTGTATACTGCTTGCAGAGCCTCCATTGAGGTTTCTTGCAAACCACACTAATATATTATTGGCATCTTCAATTTGGTAAGCAGCCATTATGGTGAACTATAGGACATTTAAAAAATTGTTTTGTAAATTGTTAGTAAAATAGAATTTTTTTTCTTTGAAAAATATTGTATGTTCTTGAAAAGTTAGTGCATGTACAAGGAAGGAAGCCAAATAATGCCAAAAGTTTTAGGTGCAAAGTATGTTTCTTTCTTGCCCTTCTCTCCTTATGTTCTCCCAGAGGCTTGGTTGTGGGGGTGGGGGCAAAAGTAGAAAGCCCTCCACCTCCATGAATTGTAACAGTGACACAGCTGGGAACATAGGAAGGGGTGGAGGGCTCCTGGAATGAGGAAGTCTTTGGTTTTTAACTTTGTTCTTTTGTAGAAAGATTCTAAAAGAAAACCAATAAAATGCACTTAAGCTATCAAAAAACTTATTTATCTTTAGTAGAAACATTTCGAATATGAGAGGGCACTAAATATTTGGCCACAACTATTTATCTTGTGAACATAATCCATACACACAGATATACGACAATATAAAATCATGAATGTGAATTACTAAAACTAAACAAAAAGTCTACGTGATTATGGTTTATATGTAATCGTTCTTCTCATACTCTTTGTTGGATTATTTTAGATCCTTGTGAAATCTTTAAACACTATTTTTATAGTTTTGAAGTGAAGGAAAAATGTTATTAGGAATTGCTTTGGATGCTTATAAATCCAAATTCAGTTTTTTTTTTTTGAGACAGGGTCTCGCTCTATCTGTTGCCTGGGATAGAGTACAGTGGTGTGATCATAGCTCACTGCAACCTCACACTCCTGGGCTCAAGCGATCCTCCTGCCTCAGCCTTCCTAGTAGCTATCCTAGGGGCATGCTATCACACCCAGCTGATTTTTCTGTTTTTGGTAGAGACGGGATCTTAAACTCCAGACCTAAAGTGTTCCTCCTGCCTTGGCCTCCCAGAGTGATAGGATTACAGGTGTGAGCCACTGCACTGGGCCCAAATTCATTTATTCTTAAGAGGATATATCTATCAAATTAAAAAAAAATGTATAATAAAAATCAGAGTGCTTTGTTACATCTAAAGCAAAAACTATGCTTTTTATTAAAAACTATGTTAATTAAATAATATAACCTGTTCGGAACACTTAAATATCATTTTATTATGATAATTTTTAAATGTGTATGTCACCAGTTACAGAAGGGGATATTATAAATAATAGTAGCAATGGGAAGAGTAATAGTGGAAACCTGTGCCTGTGGAAACTAGGAAGAGTAGAATATAATATTTAACAGATAACATTTGTTGAGTTGTTACTATATGTCAACTAAGTTGTTTATATTTATTTTCATAATCACAAGATTCCTATGACTTAGCTGTTATTATTCCCATATGACAAATGGGAAAAAAGGCATAGAGAAACATTGCTGTGATTTTCATATCTAGTAAGTGGTTGACCTAGAATCAAAACAAGAAGCTTACCTTTAGAGCCTTCACAGTTGTTTTTACATATACTTATATATATATATAATACATATATATTTATTTTATTATTATTATTTTTTAAGAGACAAAGTCTCTCTCTGTCGCCCAGGCTGGAGTGCACTGGCCTGATCATAGCTCACTATAGCCTCAAACTCTTGGGCTCAAGCAATCTTCCCACCTCAGCTGCCAGGCCTGGCTAAATTTTAAATTTTTTGTAGAGATGAGATCTCAGTATATTGCCCAGACTAATCTTGGACTCCTGGCCTCAAGCGATCCTCCCACCTCAGCCTCCCAAAGTGCTGGGATTACAGCCACTGTACCTGGCCTTAGAGCCTCCACATTTAATAAGTAGTATCTCTCATAGATTTGTCTAACCATCTCTTGTAGTCTTCCAGTTGGTAGGTTTTTTGGAAATTTTCACAAGGACTTTTATTTCTATAACAATATTTTAAAAGATATTAGCATTTTGGAAAAATGTTTAGGGTGTATAGATGCTGAAACTATATAAAAAGTAGAATATACAGAATCTGGTACTTCCCGTCATTTCCACTTGTATTCCTATAGTATTAACCTCCACCATTTCTCGTCTGGACAATTGCAGGAGTTTCCTAAGTAGTCTAGCTGCTAATTTGATTATCGCCATGAATTTATTCTTTGTGCAGCAAAGTGATTGGAATTGGCCCTCTGTATTTGTGGGTTCTGCATCTTCAGATTCAACCAACTATAGATCAAAAATATTTGGGGGGGAAAAAACCAATAAAAAATAATCATATAGCAATAAAAATAATACAAATAAAAACCATATAGTATAACAAGTATTAACATAGCATTTACATTATATTAGGTATTATAAGTAATCTAGAGATAATTTAAAGTATAGAGGAGGATATGTATAGATTATCTGCAGATACCATGCCACTTTATATAGGAACTTGGGGATCCAAAGGATTTGAGGGAGTTCCTGGAACCAAATCCCCCATGAAGGGACAACTGTTTTTTAAAATAAGCTAGACCATGTCACTCATGTCCTCAGTAGTTTCTTATTAAGAACAAAATCCTCAGCTCTTAGCATGTCCTATAAAACCCTGAGAAATCTTCTCTTCCATGCCGTTTGATGTCATGTCTTGCCACTCTACTCCTGCTCACTCTGCTCTAGCCACATGAGTGCTATTTCTTGAACACGTAAGGTGTTCTTCCACCTCAGCACCTTTGTACTTAACTTTCTTTTTTTTTTTTTTTTTTTTTTGAGACAAAGTCTCACTTTGTTGTCCAGGCTAGAGTGAGTGCCGTGGTGTCAGCCTAGCTCACAGCAACCTCAAACTCCTGGGCTCAAGGGATCCTCCTGCCTCAGCCTCCCAAGTAGCTGGGACTACAGGCATGCGCCACCATGCCTGGCTAATTTTTTATGTATATATTAGTTGGCCAATTAATTTCTTTCTATTTATAGTAGAGACGGGGTCTCGCTCTTGCTCAGGCTGGTTTCGAACTCCTGACCTCGAGCAATCCGCCCGCCTCGGCCTCCCAGAGAGCTAGGATTACAGGCGTGAGCCACCGCGCCCGGCCTAAGAAATGCATTTTTTAATACAGTGAATTCATATAGTATTAATTAACCTCAGATGTTTTATTATCTCCATTTTACATAAAAGGTAATTGAGGCTTAGAGAGTTGGTTAATGGCAGCATCTGGACTATTATCTTAATCATGAGGAATTTTCACTACGAACAATTTGATTTTTTAACTTAAAACTTCAAGTAATACTGAACAGATACAAAAATATTTATAAAATAAATGCAAAGTATAAAGAATTGTGATATAATGAAAACTTATATATCCATCCTATAGCCTAAAAAAAGAATTGTCACTTAATCTTTTTATTATAAAGTGAAAAAATTCAGAAAACCACAAAAACCAAACATATGACCTAATGAATTATTATAGGGAACATCCTTATAACCCACTACCCAAGTCAAGAAATATAAATTTATTGCCCATCCCAGAAGTCCTTTCTGTGTGTCCTGTTCCAGTCATAACCCACTTCCCATCTTAATTAACCATTATAGTAACATATATTCTAACTCTTATGGTAATCACTTCTTTGCATATTTTTATAATTTTATCACCCAGTGTTCATCCCTGGACACTATAGTTTAGTCATGCCCATTACAAATTTTGATATGTTTCTTAAGTTTTTTTTTTTTAATTTCCTTAAAATTATGTGTTGAAGAACCAGAGCCAATGACCTGTAAAGTCTTCCATAGTCTAGAGTTTGATGACTGCATATTCATGGTATAGATCATTATATCCCTCTGTTCTCTGTGTTTCCTTAAAATTGGCAGATTGATCCAGAATCCAAATCAGATTCAAGTTAGATCCCTCTAGCGACTTTAAAGAGGTGCAGATTTTCTGATTGGCTCTCTTTTGTGACATTAGCACCCCTTTTACACTTAATGCTTGTTGTATCTGTTAGTTAAATGGGAATTATAAAATGGTGACAGTCTAGTTCTGTCTATTGTTAGAATATTATTATAAATAGATACTTCTCACTTATTATTTGATAAAGCACTTTTATAGTTCATATAGGAAAGGTGGGATAAATGCTTGATTTGTTCCTTTTATTAACCAGTTTTCAAGATAATGAATTTATCCTCTGTCATCCTCCAAAGATGACCAATTTTAAAAAAAGTAATATGAGCTTATAGATTTAAGCATATTTCATTGCTTTCAGTAAATTTCAGTTATTTTCATTATTGAAGCTCAAATTGTCCCATCTTTGGCCAGTGGGGAACCTCTTCAAATTGACTCCTGAGACTTTGTATTAGCTTCCTTTTACTTAGTGTTGTAAGATTCATCTTGTACCTTTCTTCTGGAATCACTCGTTTCTCTGAGAAGCTCTGGTTTCTTTTTAGTGAGAAATGGCATTTTGAGACCAAAATATGAGTGCTGGAGATGCTCATTGTTTCTGGGTTGATCACTGTTTCTAGAGCTTTTCAGTGAACAGAGCTAGGGAGAATAAAGGTAATATAACTTATGAATTCACATTGATATTTCTAATTCACATTCAGGACTATAAAGCTTTTATTTAACTTTTCTGTATTTTACATATGTATCTCCTTTCTGAAGAATTTTGGTCCTTAAGGGCATAAGTGTGATATAATTAAAATATTCTAACATTACTAATTTATTTTATTCTGTATTATGCACATAGTAGTCTTAGAGTAGCAATACTAAGGACTTCCACTGGAATGGTTACTAAAAACATTTTTGGTATATACATTTTTCATTTTTAAAATATATTTTACTATTTTACACTGTCCTACTTTTATAGCTATTGCATACTATTCTCTTCTTAGTTCTCATTCATTCTTAGTTTTTTAGCTAAATTTATTTTTAGTGCTTATCCCCAGTCCTTATGTGTATCTCTTGCTAGTGATCTTGGTTGTCTGATGCTTATTGTCTAGTTTTGAAATAGTAGGTTACAGTTTTGGTCTGTCTTGTGGGCACATTTTCTTGAGTGCTTTCATTGTCTAAAGGGATTTACTTTGCTTTT